CTGCGTCACAGCATGGCCAGCCATGCTGCCGGGCTTTGACCAGATTCCATGATCAGCAATGCTTGTTTGATACTTTGTCCCTATTCCTTTGTCTGCGAATCCGACAGAGCAGAAGTAGACTGCCGAATGCGGCAAGTGTAGTCATGATAGCCAGAGCCCCTGTTCCTGCCCATTCCTTTATGAAAGCCAATTGGAGAGTTGGCCCGAGCTGGATCACAGGAAACTCGTCTGAGTCCGCCATAACTGGAACCGGTGCGAACTGGAGTACCTGCATAACAACAGCTGAAAGTGCACTGTTATCCCAACATTGTAACACATAACAGGTTGCGGTGGAGCAATTTAGAAAAGTCATATTTGTGGTGTTTATGGTGGCCAGGGAGAATCCCCATAATATCTCCTGGGAGTATCCATCCAGGGGGTCACAAGCGGTAAACTGGAGGACCCTTGCCCAGATAGGGGTGCAGAAGGATCCCCGGGGCCTCCGAGCTGGCGCGCCCTTAATCGCGGCGGGCTCGGCTTGGGCCCCCTGCAAGGTGCGGGTCGGGAGGTAGAGCCGTAGGTCTTAAACGGGGCGGCCCTGGGATCCCGTACTCCCTTTCATTGACCCATTTACTCTGAGAAATCCTGCGTTGCAGCTCATTTATGGCCTCAGAGTAAGGCCCTCTCGACTGCGTGTGTGTGACTCCCCCTCTTTCGGTGGTGTCTGCATCCGCCATTTTGTATACTTCTTCTTCCTCCCCCTCATTATCTGAGGAGTCCTCTGTTTCTGGGTTGGGTGGGGTCACCTCGCCTGCGGCACTGGGCTCACGAGATTGCTCGCAGGAGGATTCTGCCTGATGGTAATCAAGCGCCATGGCGCCAGCCCTTATATGGTCACAACAAGAGGTGTCTGCAAGGCAGCTTCTCACCACTGCCCAAAGGGGTCTGACTCCTGGCTCCAGGAGGCCATTTTCTGCTGCAAAGTCAAGATCTCTCCCTAATTTATCCCAGCTGGGGATGGTAATGGACCCCGTGGGACCAAACCAAGGTGCTACCTTATCGACCTGATCGAGGAAGTTTTGAATTTGTTCTCGTTTCATTTGTAATCCCTTTTCTCTCAGTAAGTCGCTTAAGGCGACTGACAGTGGCTGAGTAGCGGTGTTACCCATGTTAACCGGAATTTCAAGAGTTTCTTTTTATTTTTATCTATTTTTTTTTTTCCCTTTTTCCTTTTTTTTTTTTTTGTAACAGGGACAGCTTAGTCCCCGCGCCCCTTTACGGTGCCCCCAAAACCTGCCTTTTTATGGCACCGGGAACTCTCTTTACGAGTTCCTCGACCCTTGCGACGCGGCCGCCCAAGGTTGCCCGATAGCCCCCGCCACCCGGCCCCGCAGCCCCCGCTGCCTGTTGCGTAGCACCCGCTACCAACGTTGAGCAGTTTAACCTGTCAGCCCCCGCCCGCCGAGTAGCCCCCGCTATCGGCGCTTGATGGTTTTACCTGTTGACACTCTGTTCCATCGGAGAGAGGGTCTCAGCTCTCCTCGTACTGTCGGAGAGAGGGTCTCAGCACTCCCCGTATGGGCCACCAGTTGACCAGCGCAGCCCCAATGAAACAGGAGACGCTCTTGTGGACGACAGTTAACTGCTGCTTTATTCACGCGGGCTCTGGTTTATATATTTGGCCGTGACCAATCACAGGCTGCCACGAGGAAGCAGGGTGGGAATGGGACGCAGGCTCTGGCTACTATATCCAGCTGTGGCCAATCAGGAGTTGCCACAGAGTACGGAGTGAGCGCGGGGTGTGCACGGGTTGGCTAATTTAAAGAGGGACGTAGCGCATTGTGGAAGCTGGCGTGGTCCTTAGTCCCGGGTGGGGTATGGTATGTTGAGCGCCTGCGCCCAACATGCACAGGCATGAGGGAAGAGGCTGCCCATTGGAAAGGATCTATTTCCTTAAAAGATGTTCTTGTTAAGACCTAGGAAAGAGCTTAGATTTTACCCACCGTGCAAAATAACACAATATTCTACCTCTAAGTTATGGATTCTGGCTATGATTGACTTAGCACAGGTCTGAGTGTGCCTGGATAATTGGCTTACTTAAAATGGAAGACCCACCCTGGGTGTGGTTGGCAACCAATCAAGAGGTTTGCAGTCTGGATGGAATAAAAAGGGTAAGGAGGACATTTCACTGCAGCTCCTTTGGAGAAGCTCCGCTCTTTGCCATCACCTTTGGGAATCCATCCACAGGCTCCCAGCACAGACCCTTCAATTTCCTATGTGGACTCACACAGGGCTCTTCAATGATCTTTAGGCTTTTGACTGAATTCTCCAGATCTCCAGCAAGCACATGGCTCTTTTATCCTCGACTCTGCAGGCGACCATGCTAAGCCTACCTTGATAAGGTTTCTGTGGTGAACCCTAATGTGTACACTGGCAGAAGACACAAAGCTCAATTTTATTATCCACAGCACAACACGCAATGTGTTTCATACATACCTTGTTTTAGGGGTAATTAGGGGATGCAAAGTTAATGTTGTGTATATAGCAAGTTTGTGTCAGAATTGAGGAACTCCAAGCTTAAGGAACATAGGTGTGTGTGTGCAATACTGAAGACTGGCCCTGACCTTAGCCCTTTTACTGGAGCTTTCAATCTTGCCTGTCTCCAGAGTACTTAATATGCCATTAAGCCCGGCACATTGTCTGTTGTAAAAGGCAGTAAATCTGTGTGCCCTTTGCCCTGGAAGGAGAAATTATCTTTATTATACTAAACAGTAAATCTACTTTTTTTGCTTTAGAGTGAGACAGTCTTTCTAGACTGTGCACTATTAAACATCTTTGAAGAGATCTATGAAATAGTCTCCAACAGTCAATTATATGAATTATGCATTTGTCAAAGTTTCTGAATTATACTGGGCACTGTAGTATATGCCTGTAGTCCCAGCTACTTGGGAGCATGAGCAGGAGATTTGCAAGTTTGTGTCCAGCCTGGGCAAGTCAGCCTGTCTCAAAATAAAATTTAAAAGGGGCTAACACAGTTTGGTGGTATGGTGTTTTCTTTAATAACATTCATGAAGTGTTGAGGTTAATCTCTAGTATTGAAAATACAACTTTTTTCCAAATTCATTTTATGTCAAGGAGAAAAAGAAAGAAAAAAACAAAAATTTTAAAACATGCCAATCAAGGGCAACAATGTTACATACATTCCACATTGTCATCCCAAATCATTCACCCAGAGCAGAAGACATCCTATTGTCTGAACAATACCAGCACAAATCTCTCTTCAGTGAACTCAGAGACATCAGTAGTATAACCATCTAAACTATTTTATATACATCTACATATACATGTTGCTTCAAACTGAGACAATATGATGTTTACATGTATGTCTTATTTTGAAAATACAATTACTGAATCTCACATAAAAAGAACTAGGTGTGGGCAGATTAAGGATTATGGTAAAAGTGGTTTCTTTCATTTTGATGTCCTTTAAAGTGGCCAAGTATGGGAGAGGCCAGCCTGCCTTACTCAAGTGGAAGCTGACCCACTCTCCCCAACACTGTTTCTTTAGAGTACGCTATATCAGGCTGCATAAAGATTAGGAAGCTATTTAACTTCTCATTAGTGTATACTTGGCACACTGTATGTAGTTGCTCAATATTCTGCTGAGTAAACTTGTAAAAACAAGGTTAAATATAGAACACAATGCTCTGACCCCAAAGGCACTGAGTCATCCTCATCCTGCCACAGTCTCTTTCACTTCTGCTCAGTTCTCCTTTTCTCTCCTTTCCTTGCTACTTCACTCTCATGAGGTCACAAAATAGAATAAAATCACTCTCCAGCAATTGCTTTTAAAGGATAAAACTTTTAACACTTTGTTCTTAAACACAACAAAAGGTCAGTAAGTCATGCTTCCCGAATATAAATCCCAGCTATGATTTACACATATGTCCTGGCTTTTCTCTGTGCCTCTTGGTATAACTGCACAGACCTACTTAGATGGTTAAATCAGAAAATAATTTCTAGTGCTTAGACCAGCCGTGGCACAGTAACATATGTTGCCTATCATTTAAAAATCACTGATTTGTATATGGATTATGAATCAGGCAGTAACAGGACTGCACAAAACAACAATAAAATATAAAGATCAGAATTTTAAAGACCAGCTAAGGGAAAGTGGTAATCATTGTTAATTTCCTATTATCTTGTTTTGAATTCCTGTATTGTTCTCAGTTTTGTTAGGTATGGTTTTATTCTGTCTTATTCTGTTTGATTTTACTGTTTGATGGTATGGGCAGCTATTTTGAATAACGGAATGTATTATGGTAGCCATTGTTGAGTTCCTATTATATTATTTTGAAGTCCTGTAACACTTTATTTTGAATCATTTTGTTCTGTTTTGTTTTGATTTTATTATGTCTGATGGTATAGACAGCTATTTTGAAGGGAAAAAACAGATATTATGGCACCCACTGTTGATTTTCTATTTTGTTTTGAAGTCCCATATCATTTTCATTGTTGTTATGATTAGCTTTATTCTGATTTGTTTTCTCTTTAAAATAAATAAATAAATACATAAATAAAAATCAGCCTAGCAAGCAACACTTGAGTTAGAAAAACACACATATGGCCTTTTTCAAACTCAGGCTTAAACAAATTTTAAACCACTATATTTGATTTCATATCCTGCTTGCTTTTACCAAGCAGTAACCATTATTCCCATGCTACCCAAGTTTTGGAAGGTTTTGTTGCTGCACAAGATTCAGTGTGGTTGTATGTGTGGTGGTTTTATTTTTTTTCACCAGTGAATGTAAAACATAATTTAAAAATGTTGACACAATATACAAAAGTTATTATAAATGTCTATAGTATATTCTATAGCTGCTGGGTTACTTTTTTCTTAGGAAAGTTACATTGCAGTTAAGACTTGTATGTTCACTCTTCAAACAGTCCATATTCCATCACAGTGATGTATGGTGAGACTTAATCCCAATTGTTAAACACAACTACTAAACAGAATCAGATCGAATCATAATCAGTTTTATTGCAAAAGGACCCTGCACACATTTATCAATTCTAACCACTCCCCAGTCAGTCACTAACATACAGAAACAGGCATCAAGCAAAGCAAGACCTCTCAGCCGTCCTTCTGCATGTTAACACCATGTCACTCCTGAGCCAGTGCTCACATCACTGAGGTCTGTGAGCAGTCACTTTTCCCACTCATCCCGAGCAAAAGACGGAATGACTTATGCACAAATGCAACATATTAGAAACAATTTCTTACAAAAAGTCACCAAAATTCAACCAAAGTATTTTACAGAATTTATTATATTCAAAATGCCATAAAAATTGCCTTCGGTTGTTCTTTCTGCCTGTATCCACTGAGCCAGCTAGATGTCTCTGTATATGAAGGTGACTCTCTTGGTGTAGATGGCATGCAGATTACTATCTTCAGGTGAGCCACAGGGCTTCCCTTGCCTCCTGAAGGCCCAATGGCTGCACCATGAAAACTCAAGTCAGTTTTGAAATTCTGGCCAGTCTCTCTTGGTAACCTCTGGAAAGGCAGTTTCCAGATGAGAAGCTCGGATGAATCTCTGGAAGGCTCAGACTACCTACCAGGCCTGAAGTAATGTTTCTCCACTATGCAGGTTGAGAGTACACTCTTCAGGGACACGTTAGTGATCAGCTGGTTGCCGAAAGGGGTTGATGGGGAGTTCCACCAGTGCACTTACTGCTGTGAATTTTCTTTTACCCAGCACTGAAATGTTAGGTCACCTCTGTGCTGTGCTGGCTCTCTGTCAAGTGTCCTAGTTGCCAAGAACAAAAATAATACCTTCCCCCAAGAACTACTGAACCACCCTGCTGTGTGTGGTGTTTCTTCTTCATAGCCATTAATGCTTAGTACTTTCCCACATTCGGTGACTGTGACCCTGGGGAAAATGTTTCTTCATTTCTACTGTATCTGCTTATTTATAAACATTACTTCTAGGCTAGGTGTAGCCCAGATTTATAGCACTTGCCTAGAATATGCGAGATCCTGGGTTTGATTCCTAGCATCACTAAAATAAAAAAAGTGGTACTTACCTCAGAGGGTTTTGAGAGGTATGCAAAGTAACTAGCCGGTGCCTGATAAAGAAACGACAGGGGCTCAATACATTTAGCTACTAGGAAGCAGATATAAACATTGTGGTTGCCTCACCAATGTCCCTTCTTGTCTTCTCCATTACAAAGCAGCTGAATAGATGGGGGTGAGGGTTACAGCCTGCATCCAACCCAGGGTGTTTCGTTAGCTGATTATTTGGTCTGGAGCCTTTTGTTTATTGTCAAGCTACAGAATCTCTTTAAAGAAAGAGATGAAGGAGAATTCCTTTGTGGGTTCGCGAGAACCCATTGGATTCCCCAACAGTCTTTCTCTATGCATCGTAGATTATTTCAGTGCCATGACTGTGTGTTCCTTCTGACACAAACTGTAACTTAGTATCTTTCTTTCCTGCCTTGTCATGGCAATGCCTGTTGCACCCCAGTGGGGAGCACAGTAGGTGTCTGCCCACATTCTCGCCATCTCTGCCAGGGGAGAATTAAGAAAGGCCCTTTCTCCTAAAAGCTTCAGGACAGGAACCACCTGTTCCACCAGCATTGCTCTGGGTTAGTTCATTAAGAAACAAGAACTTTAACTGTGGTGTCAGATAAATATTTGAAATGCATGAGCCAGAATGCAGCTCAAAAATTATTACAAGCTCATCATCACTCAGGTCAAGAAAGAAAGTATTTCTAGCACATCCTAACCTCCCCTCCTTGTGAATATACTTCTCTGTTTCACTCTTCCCAAAGGTGTTTCTGAATTCTTACTTAAGAGGAAGTCAGGCAGCATATTTCCTTTTCTTTGCCTGCTTTCTTTTGCTCAGGATGTTTTTCAGATTCCTTCAAACCAAAAGAAAACTTTGCTTACCTTCTTGCTACAGAGAACAACATGGTCCAAATACCCATTCTGTTCATAGAGAGTGGAGCTACTACTCTCAATATGAAAATATCATGAATAATGCTAAGAATACTTTGTATGTCTTTTGGTAAATATGCATACACATCTCTGTTGGATACATGCTTAGAAATGGAACTGCTGAGTTGAGAGTTATATGTATGTTCCACTTTAAGACACTGCCAAACATTTTCCAAAGTGACTGAGTCCGTTTACCCTCCCAACAGCAGTTCCTATTGCTCCACACCCTCACACCTAGTAGTTATTTTGATTTTTTTTGCTTTACTACAAAAAAGATCTTACTGTAGTTTTAAAAAATTTAGTTTATTATTTATTTTATTTATTTATTACTGGGGATTAAACTCACAACCTTGAGCTTGCCAAGCAGGTCTTATGCCACTAAGCTAAACCCCCAGACCCTTTACTGCAGTTTTAATTTGCATTTCCTTAACTAATATGGCTTGATAGTTTTAAAGATTTTTAAACTAGTACTGTCAAAGTAAAATAATGCTTTTCTGGTTTTTTCCAAAAAGAGAAACCACTCTCTCTTGTTGGCCTCCTTAAGTGACACACTGCTTCAAACATCTATTTATCCACTTCTCAATGAGTTCAAATTTCAGGGGAATGGGCAGACTTCAGGGACTGCTTTTAGTTCTTTTACTGTCCACTCGAGGGTTGATGTAAAATAAGATCTTCAAAGTGGTCAGACAATTTCCCTGAAGAAATTCCAGGAGGTCCATTAGCTGTAGAGGAGAGTGCAGGGACTTCCTTACACTAAGTTCAAAGTTCTCAAAGAAGCTGGAAAGACCGGTTTTACTCTTATGGACCTGGGTGCTCATGTTCTGGCTTCAATTCACATATGATAGTAATAGAACTTTTTTTGTTGTTAGTGGGAACTGAACTCAAGACCTTGCACTTGCCAGGAAGGCACTTGTGCCGGCTTAGCTATATTCCTAGCTCTCCTTTTTTGTTGTGTGATAATTATTCAAATGGTTTTTAACAGAATCTGGTACACTGCTCAGTGTAGAGTAAGACCTGCCCTCAGAAAATGTAGTGCAATGTATCATGATCAAAGTGTGATGCTGTAATACATGAACTGCAATTTCATGTTTTAACTATTTCATGTGACTTTCTAGTAATACCATACCTTCTGCTCGCAGGATCCATGACCTCTTGAGTTACTGTTTCTAGAAAAGGAAATAATGCAATCCATTTATTAGAATTCATATATTAAAATGGAACTTCATATGTAATATGGACGACCTTTATGTTTTCCCTCTTTACTTGAATCAAACAGAAAGATAAATGCTAAGCCTTTAACCCTTAAATGTCTAGTGCTCCAATTTTGGAACACCTAAAGCTATGGAACAAAATAACTTTTCTCTTCAAATTCTTGTTCCTTGGTAACATATATGAATTTCATGCAAAAATTTAAAAATTACAATCTTTGCAGGGTTAAGAGACCTTAACCCCTATGAATGTAGAAGAAAAATTATACCTGTATGTATCTATATCAAGGAGAAAAATCTATTTAAGTATCTCATTTGCTGTCTTCATTTTTAGTTTTATGTATTTATTAATTTATTGGAAATAAAATATACCTCTAAATTAACAATTTTGGGGGTATACAAAAAAGCATTTTATAAATTCATTTATGACTATAGAACAATCACATACACTTAGATACACTTCTCTACCCTTCTGATTATTTAGGTTTTTGTGCTATTGGTAACTATACCTTTCTCATATTCCTTTGTCATTTAGAAAGAGTACCTATATTCTTTAGAGCTCCAAGTTTGAAAATAATTTATTTACACAATTCATTCAAAAATAATGGTAAAAAATTACAATAAGGTAGGAGCTTAAATGACATAAAGCAAATAATTATCATTCTTTAAAAATATCAAAATATATTAACATCACCAAGATAGCCCACTATTTTGAAGTGGCTTGTGTTTTTCAATTTCTTAATGCAATTCATATTTACAGGTATTAAATGGAAGACAAAGAAGTTAATTCTAAAACACATTCAATGTGAAAATACTTGGAAACATTTCTCTAAATGTCTTACTTTTTTATAACAGTCCAACCTCAAGTCCAACATCGGGAATCTTTGTAGGTCAATATATTGCAATCTAATATACTGAATGCTAATCACCATTCGATCAGAATCACTTAAGGAGCTTGTTGAAAACTCCACCCTAACCTGCAGAATCATTATACCTGTATTTCAAACACTCAAGCTGCTTCTAAGGACACCAAAGGTTAAAAATTACTGCTTAAGGTATAAAAGCAATTTTTCAGGTTCATTGCCTTAAATAATCATGGAATTCACTGTTTTTGAATGCCAACACTTATCACTGTCCCATGATAAAAACTGCTCATTTCTTTTTTATAGATTCATTAATATTGAGTAGGATCCAATTAACATACTGCATAAAGCAAAATTTAAGGAAATTCAAAATTCAAAATTTTACTATAGTAATTTCCTTGGCATTTTTAACTTTTTTTTTTATCTAGGGTAAGATGAACATATAATACCATTTTGTAACTAATTATGGAATTTTCTTTTTGGCTTTTTATATAACACAGTTCTGCAAGATTTATTAGGCTTTGTGTCACATGTTATTTTACCAAAGTGAAAAACGCTTACTGAGCCATATTGTTTACCTTTTAAATTATTTTTTGTAGCACTGTGGTTGAACCTAGGGCATTCATATTGAGCTTCATCCCCAGTCTTTTGATCTAAGTTGTGCTTGAACTCGTGACCTTGCTCCTTCTGCTTCCCAGAGTGCTATTATAGGCATGCGCTGCCATGCCTGGCTCATTCTTAAGTTTTAAAAAGAAATATACGATAAAATTCTACTATGTTTGAAGTTTTAACACTGGAAATTTGCTGAACATCTAAATCATATATTTTTCATATCCAAGTACATCTGAGAGGTAAACATGACTTTACTGAAAAGTAAAGGCACTAATTCACAAAACATTGTTCTTTGGGTTCTAGTTTCCTCATTTTAAGAAAAATATATTCTACTTTTAAAAATAAGCTTTTAGAGATCAACTGTAAGAGAGAATAAAGTGGGACTAAGGGTAAATGAGAAGTTTAGAAAGAAGCACACACACACAAGCTGAAATAAGCAATGTTCATTTACATGCCACTGGGAAAGAAAACAAAACAGAAGGTTGCTTCCACTGAAACAGTAAATAAGTGTTTCATAATCAAGAGGTATTACATAGGTCTCTTTCAAATTTGCATGAAGAACTCAAAGAAGGAAACTTAGGCATCCTGCTGACACATGTCTCTGCTGGAGTGACAGCCTAACCTCGGCAGCCACTGGGATCAACAGAAAACTTAGGAGAGCAAGAACATTCACAGTAGCTACCATGTGACCGAGTGAGATTCAACTCCAGTACGGTCCACGACAAAGGTGAAGACTAGCAGGTGAAAACTGTAGGGAATCAGGCTTTAGACCAATTATGTGGATTGACCAAAGTCATGATTTATTTAAGCAAAGAAAATTTTATTTCTGCTATACATAACAACATAGTTTTTTTTTTTTCTTCAAAATACTTCATGTTTCCCACACTTAACAACATATTATTCTAAGAAACAACTATGATATTAGTTTCAGCATTAAGGTATGGATTTTATAATACATGTCAGCCACCCCTGATTTCCCGATAAAACAATGGTATCAGGTATATGAAAAAAAAGCTGTCAGCTGTCCACAGGGAGTGCGTCCAGTCACATTTTCAGTCAGTCAGCTGAGGATTATGTCATTATTTAGTCTTTCTTCTGTAGAAAGAACACAACACAAGTATGAAAATCATCACCTAAAACAGCTGTTGTATATGGTATTCCTAAAATGTTAGGAATTCTTTTATTTCAGTAAAACTAACATGGTGTGTCTAATCATAGCTGCTTCCAAAATAGCAAAGCCAAATTTAGAAAAATGGTGTCAGCAGGTACTGTGCTGAACTTCTAGAGGAAAATGCTGTGAATTAATAAAAAATCAGATGCTCTGAAACAATTCTTGTCTATCTTCTTTGGCTAGTAAGGGAAATATATTATGCACGTAGGACCCATCACAAAATGAAACTTCACTTCCTTCTGCATTATATTCTTCAATCACTTTCTTTTCCTATTTCCTGTATGTGGCTCTCTAGACCTTAGGTTTATTCCTTAGAAACAAAAAAAAGCAAGCTGTTTGGGTCCTCTTCAAATTAAAGGAACAAGTACATCTCCTCCACAGCAAAAATCTTCAATTATCAAAATCATGTCAAATGTGGCAAAGTCTGTAATACTCTTTTGGCAAACCTTCAATAAGTTTGCTTATGATTTAAAGACAGGGTTCTCACTACATCACCCAGGCTGGCCTGACTCTCAGGCTCAAGCCTCCTGCTTCAGCCCCGAGGGGCTGAAAGTATTGGTATGTCGTATGTTTATTTAACACACTGAAAAAAGAACACACTCTCATTATGGAGAGAGCCCTTGGTAAATAAAAGATGCACAGCAAAAATAAACAAGCCATGATACAATTAGAAGCCATTAAAATCAGAACTAATTACATTCTGTCCAAATAAGCATTTCAACTAATCTGATCCTACTTTACCTTTGCCCTGAATAAGAATAAAGGAAAAAATAGTAATTTATAGCTACATGATCAGTCATTCTGGTGACTATGTGATTCCATTAATGTAGGGAATTGTACGAATGTACATCACTTTCAAGGGGGAAAGAGACAGTATTTAAAAGTTAATTTTCATAATATCACATGCCTGTAGTCTCATGCCATTAAACTTAATGTTTTCAGATCATCTGAATGTCATTATTTTGGATGAGGTATCATCTCAAAGGTTTCACTGAAGTTATAAATGCAAGGGTTTTAGCTCATATTTGCAAAGCATTTAAAAAAATTTTATTTTTAAAAATTTACATGAAATTTTGCTGTCTTACTGTCTCTCAATAATTCTGTAAAGCACCTCAGCTTGGAAAGGTAAAGACAGCTGCCCAATCAAAAGAGCTACTGGAGCTGTAATTTCATCCCAAATTTGGTTTTAAGTCCAATATTCCCATTAAAATGTAAATAATTATTAGGAAAAGCTCAAACATGAAAGTAATTTACACACATTTTTACAGTAGGAAGTCGATGTTGACATTCTTTTTCAAGACAAAGATTCTTTTGAACAAAAGAAAGAATGTTTAAACTTTAAAATATTCACAGACAGGAATAAACATAACTTTTGCAAGGGAGTTTAGGGGATAGTATGTCTAAACAGAATTCAGTTTTAAATAGAAAAATGCTAATTCATTTTCACTGGAAATTTAATATTTCTGGGATTAAACTGGTAACATTGTAGGGTGCAACAAGAACAGATTTTGCGATGAATTACTTAAAAAAGATTACTCATAATGGGTACCAAGTGGTCATTTTATATTCCCAAATGCCTTCTTTGAAAGAGGAACTAATCAGCTTGTTTGCTTTGTGAGAGGAGGGTCCACATGATTATGGCCTGAGATGATTCATTCTGATACCTGCTAGGCTCACATAATCAGAAAGACCCCTTAATTGAAAAAAGAAATGGTTTTAAACTAGGGACTTCAAACTGGATTCATTAGAATTGAAGTAGACATAAGAAGCTAAGGTGTCAGCAAATTAGGAAATCCAGCTTTCCCTGAAATGCAGGATTAAAAAAAAAAAAAAAAACTAACTTTAAAGAGTGTTATCCTAAGTCACAGAAATATAATGTGCCATAGAAAAGAAACTAAGTTGACTCTGGAAAACAACTAGGAAAAGGTAATAATATGGCTGTAAATGTCAGTATCAATAATAAACAAGAATCTTTGGTAAATGGTTAGTACTTTTAAAAAAATACATATATACACACAAGAATATTTTCTGAATGTGTACTTTTAATGCACAAATTTATAAACATAAATCCAGAAAAACATCAATATTTAGGCTAAAAAGACTAAAGAAAACACACTATTTGATACTGCTTTTGGTCATTTTATTAGAAGTAAAAAGTCTCCATAAAAGTTTTAAAAATTATTTTAATTCATTACTGAAGACATCAGTTCATCACATTAAAAATCTTTACAAATATTTCAATTTTAAAGTTTACTTGTATAAACACAGTAGAATGTTCAATTGTTTCTATCTAAAATATTCATAATAAGAGCAATTAATTTCCTAAATTGAATCTGATTTTATTTATAGGAGAGCACATTCTTCCACTAAATGTCAAAAACTATTTTTAAGTTTCAATGCTTTACATTTTAAACATACGCTTTAAAAGTTTTACCAGCAGTGCTTTAAGTTAAAGTGTTTTTAACTAGTGCTTTCTGAAAAGCTCACAACTAAAATACTTATTAAATATAGGCATATATTTCTCTTCCTACACTATTTCACCAGCATGTTTAAAATTCAGATTAAGAAGTGCTTACCTGAGAATCAGTAAGTTCTTTGCCTTTTGTTAGACTCCTCTCTTGGGGAATCTGCCAGCATAACTTTAAGTCTGACCCCATTCAGAATCTTCCCATGCAAAGTTGAAATGGCATCGTTGGCGCTCATTCTGTCTGCAAACTTGGCGTACCCCACATTTTTTCCTGACACAAGGTAAACTTCGATCAGGTTACCAAAACGACTGCAACAAAGCAAAAAGAAAAAACTCAATCGAAACACACAAATACAGCTGCCTTAGTTCTCAAATGTGGGGTTCATTCTCCACTCCTTTTCCATCCTCCTTATACCCAGCAGCCATTTCAGGCCAGTCTTACTCCTGCAGCATCTCACAGCTCATTTCCTTCATCCTCACTCAGGTCTCTTTCCTTGCTCGGATCAGGATCACCTGTGCCCGAGGTCCCTTCATGCTCTTCACTAGGCTTCTGGACACCAGGCTTGTCCCTTCCCACCGTGCTCTACTCTGTCTCCTGCAGGGTCTTTCTGAAGCAAAACATGATCATTTCCTCCCTAAACATGCCCTTAGCAGCTGCCCACACTGCCTTCTAGGTAAGGGCAAACTCCTAACATGGCCCTCAGGCATGGCCCTTGGCCTCTCCCCTTCCCATTCTCTCATAATCTCTCAGTCTATGTTCTAATGGCTTCCTTTCATACTCTCTTGGACAGGGAAAACTATTGACACCCGCAGCTTGCTCCTGTGCCCAAACAGTTTATAGCCTGCATGTCTCCTTGTACCCCTTCCTTCTTTCAAGAAGCCTGCTCAGAGTTCCTACAAGTAGGAGCCCCTCTTGTGTCCTTCATTCGTTCCTATCACAGTGCCAATCTCATCACGAGGCTGTACTCACCTATTTAAGAACAGGTCTAAGAGGCAAGGATCATGCTATCTTATTAACAGAGCATCATGTTTTGTTTACATAACACCTCAAGAACTTAGAGTGCCTGCTTGGCATAGAGAAGCAATTCAGGAAACACAACAAATGAATCAGTTATATAAAAGTCAAAATATCTGGGCCACATGCTCGATGTTTTGTGCAGAAGCTTCCTATCTATCTTCTTAATTCACTAAAAGTCTTGAAATGGAAATAGTAAAATGACCAAAATGGAAAAGGTAAGGTAGGAGGTATGGAAAACACAAACTTGTGCTTGTATTTATTATATAGTCTTCCCTATCATCAAGTAGCTGTTTATTCAATATGGTTTTATACTAATTTCAGATCCAACAGAGTACTGACAAAACAGAAGATACTTAATGAATAACAGCCAACTGAATTACTAATATGAGGACAGGATATATGAAAAAGATTCTAGGGGACAAACAGGTCTATGTTGATGTATCTTTCATGAAGAGACAAAATATCTGCTTATTACATACATCCAGCTTTCCAAAACAATTCTACATTATTTATTTCTTCAAAACAAAGTAACAAGAAATGCTATGTGGACTTGAGTTGGCACAGAAGACTAGGAAATGATCCTAAATTGAAAAACAGGTTTCAAATAGGGAATTTTAAACACCAAAGAACAAATCATCTCTACCTGGTAGGTACTGGATAGAGTAAGTTTCAAGATTGTGAGAAAATTAAAGTTGTTAGTTTAAATAAATAATACTACAAAAATATAATGTTGTAAAATTAAAATCTTACCAGAATATATCCTCTAATATATCTAGTGGTAAAGGATGAGGATTAAACACAATAAAGAGTCTTTCTTTCACAGGAGTTTCTGGATCGGCTTTTTTTTTGCACGATGGAAGTATAATGTCCGTCTGGATTTGAGGCAGCTGCGATCCAGAACTTCCTCCAAATTGCTGCTGAAGAGTTAGGTACAAAGTAAGACACAGAGGCACTATATTTCAGGAATTTTGAGCCGTAGCTACAGACATGTATATTGTGGCACCTATGTGGTCCTCTAATACAACTCGGAACATTTTCTTACTTAGTAGGTAATAAACAAAGGTCACATTTATCTTTGATCCTCTTGACTGCATTATAAAGTTAAACTGTTACACACTTACCAGAAATTGCTGCTGGCTTGGGTTATTCCACACCATTGAGGCAAGTTGTGCAGCTACCATCTGTGTGGCCATTTTTCTAAGGAGACTGGAGACAAGAACTGATAATTTACAGAGAGCTGGAAATGCTCAGTTGTAATAGTAACTTGTATTGTGTGACTTGCAAGTCACACTGTGGGTCAGCTGTTTTCAAATCACAATCGTGTCCTTAGACACTCAGGAGTGCTACTTACTCTGCTGCATTACTCCCGTCATCAATGAAGGAAACACCTATTCGATTTCCAGGAGGGTACTGAAATCCATGTAACTTGTATTTTGCATAAATAGCTGATGCTACATTAAAATACTGAACCACTCCATGACCTAAAATAGATAATATACAGATGTGAAAAAGATAGCAGATTAAAGCAGGCTATAACATATTTAAAAGGTGAAAGAATCTGATACACAAACTAGTAATAAAGAATCAATGGTTTCAGAAAATAAAGTTTTGTCATATCTGTGTGGTTCAGTAGCATCTCTAGAAAGTCAAACGTAAGTCACATTTAGGAAAAAATGTGAATAAGCTATCTATAAGAAAATGGAGTTTCTTTTTTGGGGGAGAGGGGAGTGGAGTTTTAACATGTGTTCTGTATAATGATTTTAACTTTTATATATTGGCATATCTATAAACAACATTTTTATTTTTTGAAGCTTACTTTGAAATTTTAAATTTTTAAAATTTTTATTTTATTTATTTTGGTACTGGAGATTGAACTCATGACTTCATGCTTGCCAAGCAGGTGCTATGCCCCTTAACACTGAAATTTTAAAATTTTCCCTACCATACTGGGTAGGAAATGAAAAGAGAAGTATTATAGGAAAAAAAAAAAAAAACATGCTCAGCTAGGTACAGCAGCGGAGAAAGAAAAAGTGTATGAATAAGAAATAAAAGGTAAGTAACAGAAGGTCTCGGAACAAAAGTCACCTAGTTCACATTCCTTGGGGGAGATTTCAACTAAGGGGACAGATTTCAATTCAAAAAGTTGACACTGAAGGGCGAAACTATTTCATACTGGAGAGCCCAGGAGCCTGTGACACAAGAAAAGAGTTTTTAGATATATTTGAAATATAACCTATCTTGGAGAAAACACCTAAAATTTTATGTTACTGTCTAAATCAAGCATCTAATATTTTAATCAAATTAATTAAAACACAGAAATCAAATGGCCATTCAAATGAACTGAAATAGAACATCTCTGTTCTAATAACATGCTCATCAGATGTATCTAACCAAATAAAAGGTACAGTATAAATACATTTCTACTGCTAGATAATGGCAGTAAAATGGCATGGGGGACAAAGCAGTATGATAAATATATGTAATCCCAAATGAGCCAGGGAACACCGCCTGTGTGCCTAGGAGCTCTGAACAGAGAATGACTGCGTAAGGTTTGTCTAAGGTCAGAGACAGCGCAAAGGAGGCTCAGATGGAGAACTGTGCGAAAGATGAGGTGGGCAGGGCAACAGTGGGCATGTCGGGGTGTCCGCGGGAAGGGACTGAGCTGCCCCAGGGTTGCCAGCCCCAACCCAGATGCGTTTCCCTCCTTCCTCCACACGCACGCCACTCTAACAGGACTAAATCAGGTACGCCCACAGAACGGGAAGAAATGCCAAGTGTGGGGTCTTCATGCCACTCTTCATCTGTAATTCTTCCACAACAAGCAAAACTGTCTGGCATTAATCAAAAGATTACAAACAGAAATCCGGTCTTGAGGTATTTCCTTGTGCTACTTGAACCAAAGGATGTTTTATTTTGTGAGAGTTAAAATATTTTTTTAAATGAATTACTTTGTACCTTTAAAGGAGATAGGAGTTCCTAGGAGTTTGTTCATTAAGATACCAATAGATTTTGAAAATAGAAAATAGAAATGAAACATAATTCCTATCTCACAAACAGTATCTGATATAAAACGAGACATTAGAGAAAAGACATCTTAACAAAATGTAATATATAAAAAATGTATATATTTAAAAACATCACAGACAATATTTTACCGTAATTTGAATAAGGATCTCGTTGAACTTCACAATACTCCAATCCTGGTACTATGTCAAAAATGCTGAAAAGCTGCTCTTCAGTGAAAGGAACTCTTGATACAACTGACAGGCGTTTGGAGATAGCTTCCTGGCCTCTGCTGTCATTCTTGTCAAAATTTGGGAATTCAGGCTGTTGATCTCCAACAATATTAAAAAAAAAACAGAAAATCTTAAGTTTTGATATTCATAAAGTCTCATAACACTTTACGCGCTAGAAAATAAAAGCCCACGGCAGTGAGCAAAGAAGCTGCATTTTGTATTACGCTTTTGGTCACCAGCACCAGAAGGGAACAGGGAGAAGAAAGCACACAACTCTCCCTGTCACCCAACTTCATCAGAGAAACACCAAGTCTGACCAATAGGGGGAAGCTCAGTATGTAAAACTGAAAAATGTGTCAAGAGTTTTATGACAAAGAACTTCTAGAGACTTTGCTTTCATCACTCACTTTTCCCTTCCTCTGGCTTCAACTTTTGTCATTCTTTTCTGGAGCCTTAATTTTAAAGAAGTCACAGTTTTGAGACAAAATATTAAGCCTCACACTGAAGAGATATCTGCATATATTTTCTATATTTTTTGCTTAGCTGCGTAAGGAAAAGTTCATTCAAAGAGTGGTGCTGACACAGTTTAATATATAGATGATGCTCAAATAATCAAAGAAAACTAATGGGAAATAAGTTAAAAATAAATGTTAAAGAAGAAGGAACTGAAAGTCTTGAGCTAATTTTTAGGAAAAAAACTACCTTTAAGATTTTAATTCACTAGATGAGATTTATAGACTAAAGATAATAAAATAGTTAAAAAACACTCAACTTAGAATGCAGATAGTGGATCTACTATTGAAGTAAAAGCAGGCTACTTACCAAATGGAAACATATTTACTCTAGGTTCATGTCCCAAAGCCTCCTGCCTCATGTTACTATAATAATCTTGCTCCGAAGATTCGGCTGGTTTATTTTTTGGTTCAGCTAAAATTGCTCTAAAACCTGAAAAAGATAATCCAGGAATTTCAAGTTTCATTGAAAATTTAACATACCTGTAAATATGCAAGGTTGCTAGTGCCTGACTTAGCTTCATCATTTAATTGTACAAAGCAAAATATATACAATGGCCATTTCCACCAGACCTACTTCTTTGCTTTCTGAAAAATGACAAACAATAAATCTAACAGGATCTCATGGGTCAATGTAGATGTGGAAGAAGCAGTTCAACTGCATATGATATAATTCATGTACCCACGCTCCTCAACATCAAAGTCCTGTCCGGCTTCTTCACATTTAACCTGCCACCAAGATTCTCCCTTTGAAATACATTTAAAATATGCTATCTTTTACTCTACCTTCTCTGCCTGTTTTCAATTTAGAATCTCTTCAACTAATAACAACAGTCCTGTAAGCAGTCTCATTGTTGCTGGATGAAGAGTTCTTAGCTGTGAGTCTAAACATGAGATACAAATGATGGGGTGGACTCTCTGTAACTTTAAACAAAATGCTTATACATGGATGGTACGTAGGGTTTCACAGCTTTCATAACACACTATGGATTCAAACAAAATAAAACTGGCTGGTTTAATCGCTTCCATGAAAACCTATGCTCAATACTATGATTATGTCAACTGTCTTGTGAGCTTTGTTGTTGTTGCTATTATTATTACTATTATTGTTTGCAATGTTGAGGACTGAACCCAGGCCCTTGGTACTGAGCTACAGCTCCAGCCCTTTTTTATTTGCAGACAAGGTCTTGGCAAGTTGCTAAATTAGTTAAGTACCTAAATCAGGCCGGGCTCAAACTTGTGATCTTCCTGCCCCAGCTTCCCAGAGTGCAGGGATTACAGGACTGTGCCACCACATCCAGCTAAGCTTTGTTATTTTAAACAAACTACATGAGGATCCTAATGTGGACTAGGCTGGAACTCTGCGTAAACTCCCAGATGTGGCTCCAAGGTACTCAGTTGACTCTGTCTCATCATTTCTCAGCAGGGATACCACACTTTATGTGACTGTCTCCCTGACAGGTAGGATAAGACACGGTCATTCCTGGCTCTGTGCCTTGGCTGACACTGCTCTCACGGTTCCCCTCCTCTGAACTTGTTTCCCTGCTCACTTGGGGCACTTGCTGCTCAGCACTGACAGTGTCCCACACGCTCCTGAATACTTCTTTCACTTAGCAAACTCTTACTGAGTCTCCTATAAACACTAGAACTTACTATGGAAGAGATCTCAAGAAGTCTTTACTGAGCCTATCACCATACTAGGTATTTGGGTGATGGCAAGACAAATAAGACAGATTTCTTATTTTTGAAGAACATTTGAAAATTATTCTATTATTCAGTATTTTTTACCTATTGTGTCTTGCTGCCCAAAGTAGATACATAATCCTTAAATGCCAAGGTTGCCACATATTTTATTTGTATGCCTCTATTTGGTATATTGAGTATAGCAAGGGTACTCAATGAAAGGTGGCTAAATGGTAAATTCAGAAGGCCCTAAAATGAAATTTTGGGGGCTGGGAAAATGGCTCAGTTGCACAGTGCCTGGCTGGCAAGCGCAAGGTCCTGAGTTCAATTCCTAGTATCAAAAAAGAAAAAAAAAAAAAGAAATTTTGATGTGAACCTTCAGGGTATTTACAAATTCTATTAACAATTCTTTATTGTAAGTATAAATTTTCGTAATATTGAAAAATAGTAATTTGTTTCTAAAAATGTAGTTAGTAGTACCATGACAAAGAATATTTTTCATATTTTTAAAATGCTTAGTCTTTTATTATTTATACTAGTAACAGCAGAAGATTCAATTACCATGATCCTTAGCTTGAAATCAATTCTATAATTAAATATCTAGGTTAGGAAACCTTAGAAATCCTATGCTTACCCTACATATTTATTAGTATATTTAATTCCATTAAGAGTTTAGGTAAAAAAAATGAATAAATATGGCATAAGTATTAAAAAACTAAGAGTAAGTCAAATTTTAATACCTTAGATTCTGAAATACACATTTCAAAAGCCTACTGAAATAACTAAAGTATGCACTGAATTTGCTGTCTTAAAGCAGGCATGCTGATTTCTCTTTACAACAATGCTTCTGTGAATGCTTAATCATTACCCAGAAATATTTTTCATCTTTGAATTATGTATATTTAAACACCCAATGTTAAGATTAAATTACTAGGTAGGTTAGCAAAAACCCGTATTAGATTCAGTTATTTAGAATGATTGGAATTTTAAAGAAAGTCTTTAATATTCTTACTTCGATCACAGTTTTCTATTGCTTGGGCAGCTTGTGATGGTTTTAAATATCGTACGTAGCCCAAACCTTTACTTTCTCCAGTGACTTTATTCTTAATAATGCTGCAATACTCGATATCTCCATACACCTATAAGAGTTAAAAAACATGATCTTAGGGGACTCGAAATTAGTAACTGAAGAGATTATTTAAGAACTTTAAATGTGTAATTACTCATGCCTTGTAGACATCAGGGTGGAATGTCAACTAGAGTGGCTTTGGCATCTACCTGGGGGATTGGGAGCTCACTTCTGGGTATATCTCAGTAAGTCAAGGAGGTGTGGCCTCTTGCCTCTTCTGCCTTGTCATTGTTCCCTGCTCTAGTTGACAGCTGTCATGAACTAAAAATTATTGTTCTACCATGCCTTCCAGCCAATATGCTTCTGCATCACAATTACCCAAAATCATGGCCTGAGTCCCCATAAAATAAAGTTGCTAATGTTTTTATTTGGAGATTAAGTATAGTTTTAAAATGTGTTTGTTGCCAAAGGGTGTGATCTGGTGGTTAGGATCAACTGGATTTGCTTCGGGATACATCTGGGGCACTCACTAATGGAGCACACTTCTGGGTGGTTTAGTTTGGGGGGCTATCTCTAATAAGGTCCTTTCTTGTTCTGGTTCTTGGCCTCCATGTCCTAAGTAGCTTTACTTTACCATGTCCTCCAACCATGATGTTTCTGTCTTAGAGCTGATTGACAATAGACTAAATCCTCTTAAAACACAAGCCAAATTAAAGCTCTCCTCCTTTAAGATGTGGGTGTCACGTATTTTGTCTAGTGATGGCAAAGCTGACTAATACAAACAAGCTTCTTCCTTGCAATTGAAGAAACCCTTTGAGGATACAAAAATAGTGTTATTGCTTATTTCACAGTGTAGAAAGCTGAGCTTTACAGAAATCAAAATAATTTGCGTAGGTTACAGAGGAGATAATTCACAGAGAGAAAAGACTTCTATATGGTCTAGGTAGCTTCAAATTCTTAGTTACAGTCAGGGGCAAGGCTCTGGAATTGGACTTCTAGATTGCAATCTGGGACACACTAAGCACTCAAAACACATTAGCTATAATTGTTTTCCTTTTTTTTTTTTTTTATCGGTACCAGGGATCGAATTCATGACTGCCTGCTTGCAAGGCAGGAGCTTATGCCACTGAGCTAAATCCCCAGCCCCCAGCTATAATTGTTTAACTGTCTTCTAACAGGAGCATAAATGATTGTGCATTCTTTTGGAGGAGAAAAAGTGAAAGTATATCTCTAAATCACTCAAAATATTAATAATCTATTTGAGAAGCATGCACTAATATTTATTTTTAATGTTAGAAAAAATTAGATAGAAATTCTTGGTATTGTTTAATAAATTTTTGTGTACCCAATATGTAACTTAATTACTGTATATAAATAATCTTATTTGTAATGATCTTATTTGTAATCACTGCACATAAATAAACAGTCTTAAGTACTGTACATAAACAGTCTTAAACATTTTTACTTCCTATAAGAAGTCTAGAGCATACAGTTTTGACATGTTATTTTTCAGGTATTTCATTTAACTCTCACTTAGGGTATGATAGTGAAGTTTGAAAATTACTTTTTTCTTCTAGTTTCTTATCTTTCTTGCTTCTTGCTCACTTGATCCACAGTAGCATAAGTAGAAAAAAAATTTTTAAAGTATTTTAAACACTATTTTTAACTAATTTTTGTGGAAGTTTATTACTGCATATAAAACTGAATGGCTATAAACATTTAAAATTATCTTCAAGTTTCATTTACTGTTATCTATATTTTGAGGTACAGTTGTTTCCTTCAATGTAACTCCTGTGGAGGCCCTATTTTAGGACAAAAACATCAACTGATAAACCTTTCTGAAAGAGAATTAAAGAAAGCTTTTCTGTGTGTAAAATGTCAACATACCATAGGCTCATTATTAGTGTTAGATAATAACAGCACGCATGATCAGGCCTGGCTGACTCACCTCCTGTAACAGGTAACAGATAGTAGATGGAAGTGATAAGAAAGTGCTTTAAAGTTTTAAAGATCAAAAGCAGAATTCAGACTCAGTGTGTGTAAGTCTTAACTCTACCAGCTACTCACTGTGTGATCTTACTTAAAATTCACTGAGTCTTGTGCTTCATTTTTCTGAATCTGTCTTTTCATAACAAAGTTTGGCATGAGGCCACCCCATTACTATTTTCCAATTTCTAGTAACTATACAACCTTTAAAGATTGAGTCATCATAAATGCTAGGTAATTAGAAAACATAAATACCTTAAATTTTTCTCGTAGATCTTCTTCTGTGTAGGACTTTGGTATCATAACAAAGATTCTTGTAAGTTCTTCATCTTCAACATCTCGGTGACTTCCAGATGATCTTGACTGAGCAATAAATACCTAAGAAACATACAAAACCCCAAAGTGATGTCAATTGTTCTTCCATTCCTTAAACATTCTTAATAATTATATGTACCGAATTTGTTAGGTTGAAACACAAAGTGACAGGATCTTATAAAAAACTTTTTTTTTTGAAAGCAACCTCTACTATAATGACTTTGTTATATATCAATCTCTGCTTTTTTCTGAATACTTGTTTTTCCATTTTTGATTAGCAAGAGCAAGTTAGTATACTTAAAAAGAATGTGTACCTTGCAGCTTTTGACACAGTTCAATAAAGGTTCATTATATTTCATAGGTATTACAACATTTTATATTTATTTTTACTTATTGTAGAAGAATATAAAAATCATTGTGAATTCAGCTTCTATTTTTTTGTTTGTATCTTTTGAGACAGGGTTTTGTTAAGCTCTCCAGGATGTCTCTGTTCTTGTGATCCTCCTACCTCAGCCTTCTGATTACACCATTGTAGCTGCCCATCTTCGTCTTTTTAGTAATGTCAATATTGGAAGTTCTTATTGGGTGCATACACATGACATTATTAGATACTTTTTAACAAATGCTTTCATTCTTATGAAATCACTCTATTCATTAAAATCCCTTATGTTGAACTGAATTTTTTTGATGGCATGTTAGCTTTTGTAGTTTTCTTTTTTTTTTTTTTTTTTTTGTACCAGGGATCGAACTCACGACCATGCACTTGCAAGGCAGGTGCTTATTCCCCTGAGCTAACTCCCTAGCCCCTATAGTTTTATTTTCAACCCCTCGGTACCTTTGTACATAAAGCATGTTTCTTGTAGTCATTTCATTGGGTCCTATTTTGGTTTAAGCCTGTCTTTATTTTCTGTTCCTTTAAATGTGTAGTTCATTTATATTTAATGTAATTATGATACAGCTGGGTTTAAGTCTAGATGGTTTGGTACTAATTTTTAGAAAAAGTTATCAAAACCATAATGTAATTCATCTCAGTGACCATCCAAATGATTTTATTCATGAGCAGGAAAAGGCATCGGATGATTTTTCTAATATTGACAATATACTTTTATTGAAACATTATGATATGAGAATACTCAATTTAATTTGCTTAGTAGGAGTACTTTTATGTAATTTCTAAATTTTTCTTGGTTTTCTACTACACCAGAGGAATGTTAAAATTTGTAAGATTATCAACTTGTTTATTCAGCTATAAGGGTAAAGTTTGAAGGCTAGATTTTTTGTTTATGACTTAAATATAACATAATGAACTAAATTACTAAGACCATTGAAGTTTTTTGTGTATATATGCAAAGTTCCTTTAGAGAGTGGCAGTACATGTTAACAACTTGGACTATGGAATTCCAGTGTAGGAGGCAGCAACCCAGAAGGATACTGGATTTAAAACGTCATGTGGGATACCGAGTATAGTGGCACATGCCTGTAATTCCTGCACTTGGGAGGTTAAGACAGGAGGATCACTGTGAGTTCCGGGCTATCTTGGGCTACATACTAAGTTCAAGGCCAGCCTGGACTACATAGTGAAACCCTGTCTCAGAAAAACAAAAATCAATCAAACAAAAAGAGTTATGTGGGATTTTATAAGTGTTGAAAAAACTGAATATGAAAGCCATGAGAAAAGGTCATTATTTTTGCAGGAAAACCACCTATTAGAGTTGGGAGACATGTCTCTAGAGTTTAACTCATTACTCCTTTAATAATCTGCACTGTTTGCCAAGTACTGTGTAGTATACTGAAAACAGAAATGGATCAGTAGAAAATTACGCCACTAGACACAACGGTAAATGAAATGACTGCAATGAACCCAATAAACTGCAACAGATAAATAGGAAAACACAAAAGAAGGAAGCTATAAAAATATGTATGTACTGGAGCAAAAATAGGACTCTCACGTAAAGATATTATCAGGTTACAAATTTCCAAACTCTGGAGGCTTGATGTGTTTAAAATCTCTGATAAAAGACATCTCTGTAGAACACAAGAGTAATTCCTCATGGAAGATTTTTCCTCACATATCTTTATCTTCCTGGACAATAAACTTTCATAGGTGAGCAGGGTTGGGAGTTTAATTTCTCTTGTGGGAATGTATCAAGGGAAGTGAGCTTCAAATTTGGAGCACTTGCTGGTTGCCCATGTGGGCTCTGAAGTCCTGTTACACTCAAAAGTATACAAACTCATTCCATTAAAGTTGTAACTGGAAAGAGATGAAAATTATCAGTGTGGTGCAGGACTCAGCAAACTGCAGCTCTGTTTTTGGTGTAACTATAAACACTGTTTTTACATTTTTAAAGAGCTGTTGGAAGTAATCAAACAAGGATATGATGGAGTCTGTTGCCCCCAAAGTATAAAATACTCACCATATGATCCTTTACTGAAAAACCGTCAACCTCTGATCTAATATATTTAATTTTGTTGATGTCCTGTTCTGAGCCACTTCAGAGAACTGGGGAGTTGATTATAAATTTATCTTTCTTCTTTTAGCTCTATCAGTAATACTTCATGTATTTGGAAGCCCTATGGTTGGCCGCACCCACACATGGGATTGCCCTGTGTTTTGTTACTGTCTACAGGGTTATGGTAAATTCTCAGGCTCCTTTTCTTTTGTCAACAGAAGTACAGGCAAGACCTCTAAAGACTGAAAACCTGAGTCCTTCATTTACAAGTTCCTATTAATACTCTTTCCAATTTTCAGTAAATGAGAGACAGAGACAGAAACACACACACACACACACACACACACAGAGAGAGAGACTATTTAAGGTAAAGAAAACTTTTTACAGAAATTTTCAACAGAATTACATATATAGCAACTACTGTTGCACTGCAAGTGAAGTGTACAATTTAAATCACTTACTAGATTCTCAGGATTGGGTCCTGATTTGAAATAAGAGCAGGTAAAGCTGTTATTTGCAAGTCTTGATTACTACAGAAAAATCTTGGCCGCTATGGACCAGAGAGATAAGCCTAAATTGATGGTTTACCTTGTGTCAAGCATTGTGCTGAAAAGACAAATTCATGAGAAATAAACCCAAAAATGATTCTTCCTGCCATGTGTTATTATCTTAGCATAAAACTAAACATAGAAATTTAATATAAAAATGCCATTAGAACAAACTAAGAGTATGCAAAAAAAAAAACCTCATTTAATAATAATACAAAATTCACATTACTATTATAATGATTTGGTACCTCTTAGGGCAGTTTACTTCGCCCTGCTTCTAAAGAAAAGTGACAGTAACACTGAGGGTCAATGGCCAAATATATGCCATTCATATTTACACGGTTAGAGATTATTTAAAATCACAACAGTGTGCAGAGAGAGAGACATAGCGACAGAGACATACAGACAGAGACAGAGAGACAGACAGAGTCCCTCAATCAAGGTAGGCCAGAGTGAATGCGCTGTGAACACAGGAACTGCTGGGAAAGGCGGGCGTCCCCAAGAGGGGGCTCGCAGCAGCCCCTGCCCGCAGTCTTGCGCGGTCTCAGGGTGCGCGGATCCTCTTCCCACCCCCAAGCCGCCAGGTGCAAGTCAGTTGTCGGCGGCACTCGCCCTCCTTCGCCCCGGCCCAGCATTGGGGGGGCCCGGGAGACCCACACCCGGCCGGCCGCCCCGCCCCGCCCCGCGTGCCCCGCACCTTGATGGGCTTGGTGTTGTTGGGCTCCAGGCACTGGCCATGCATCTCCTCCATGGCCCTGCAAGCCTGCGAACTGCGGGCGAACTTGATGAAGGCGATGCCCTTGGACTCTTTGGTGTGCTTGTCCCGCACCACCCAGATGTCCTGGATCTCTCCGAACGGGGAGAAGCGCTCCCGCAGCACCGCCTCGGGCGTGTACTTGCTGATGACCAGAAAGATGCGGCTGTTGGGAGGCTCGTCCAGGCTGTCCACGCCCGGGCGGAAGCCGCTAACGCTGACGCCTCCGCCTGCAGAGCTGCCGGCCTCGTCCATCGTGCTCCACCTTGGCGCCGCAGCCGGGACCGCTACCCTCCCGGTCCTCTTAGGTTTGGCCTTGGTCTCAAGCTACTCGTCGCAGATCCGCCTCTCCGCTTCCGGAGAACCAAGGAGTCAGGAGTCATGCTGAACCACCCTAGGGGTGCTGGCTTCCGGGAGTGCCCTGCTTCGCCCCCTGCCGTAGCGGAGGACTCGCACTAAGACCAGACCTTCCTGCTAAAGACAGGTTCAAGTTGGCATCAGTTTGTACAATGTTTGTTCCCTGAGGCCAGAGCAGCCTGCCTGATAAAAGGCTTTCCAGCTGTGGCTTTGCCTGGCTATTGTCCCAAGCCCAAGAATTCTTCCCTGAAATTTTACAATGACACTTGTGAAACATAGTATACTTTATTCAAATTGTACAGGAGGAGGAAGGGCTTGGTATTATGTATTGACACCACTACAGTAGGGTCTTGAAATGGAGGCTGGTCTCAATCTGACTTCCAAAAAGCAAGTCGGAATTCAATAAGGGGATTTATGATCAGGATCAGGAGGAGAGTTAGTGCATGGACAGCTACTCATCATCAGGGGTATGAAGGAAAGATTCTTGCTAAAACTGCTTAACAACATTCTTTCTCAAGTTAGTGAAGAATAATAAAGTGTTAGTAGGGATCAGAACCCAAGAGTGAGGACTGACAGTAACCTGATTTAGCAGGACTTCTGCTCCAACTGGATTCTACAAGGCCAGTCCAAGTTTAGATCTAGTCAAATTGTTTACTATGCTATGCTGTATCTAAGAGAGAAAGTGTTAAAATTAGTCACTCTCCTCTCATGGAACTAGTAGTTTAGTTTTCTATGATTAGAATCATATGGGACTGATTAATTTGCAGATCAAATGAAATAATGTGTACATCGCACAAAAGAAATTAATTTGATCGTTGCATTGAACTGTGGTGTTCCCTCCCCTCCTCTCATGATGATGTATAGTTGCTTGAGGGTAACTAAAACTCAAGCATTCTGGATTGTTATCTTGAATTTTGCAGTGACAAGATTGTTATCATTTCTCCGGGCCATAGCTGCACTATAAAGGTGCTGTCTAATGCAGAGCTTAGTCAGTCTAGGAAGTATCTTGCCTTAACCTTCTACTTCTCTTAACTAATCAAGATAAATGAAAAGAAAATAACACCATGATAATTTTACTGATGTGAGTTAGTGCAAAGTTTCTGAGCAATACTATTTTTACAGCAGTGCCATCTAGTGGAAATTTATACTTTTCTTGTGTTCTGACTGAGCTGTTTCTTGTAAAATAGGACTATTGATGTGTGTCCTGAAAGTTTTAGAGTTTTATTCAGAGCAGTTAATTCATCCCCCCCGCAAAAATAATGGGAAATGCTAGGGAAGCAAAGTCTCTTCATAAGTCAGTTGTGAAATGCCACATGTTCAACAAAAATAAGAAACTTAGTTGTAAATTACTAGCATACAATGACTGTATATTCCTCATAGTGCTTACTCATTTTCAACAGATATTTGAAATATAACTCCCAAGTCATACATCTCACCCTTTAAAGTGATGCTAAAATGTTTTTAGTATTTTCAAACTTTTACAAGTGGCATTACAGTCAGCTTCAGAGCAGAATTGTCTTATTTTAAATCATACTACCTCTTTGAACATGAATTACATAGATTGAAAACAGTTGGTGTGTCTGAGAGTCTGAGGTTGAAAATAATGACTATTAGCATTAAGTTAGAGACTTTTTATGTGTTGGTCACTAGAAGGTTAAATTTTTTTCAAGTCTTTAAAATACGTAGCCTAGCCAGGCTTGGTGGAACACTCCTGTAATCCTAGTACTCTAGAAAACAGACAGGAAGATCACACAGTTAGCTTCAGGGTGGGTATCCCAGGCAGTTTTTTAGTAAGAACCTGTCTCAAAGGAAAAGGAAAAACAAAAACAAAAACTGGGAAGGTAGCTCAGGGAAAAGGCCCTGAGTTGAATACCCACGACTGGAAAAAAAATCAATCAATCAATCAATCAATCAATAATAAATAAATAAATCTAATGCATTTATTTCAATAATAAAAGATTTATTCTACATAAATTTAGAGGTTGACATTTTTACTACTTCAAATCTTACAAATTTGTTTTTTAAAATGAAAGCCGAGAGTATGAAGATGTAGTTGCTGTAGAACACTTTTCTAATATTTATGAGACTGCATTCAATCTCCTGCCCCCTACTGGGATATTATGACTGACTTTTGAAATGCAAAGAGCAGATAGCAATTTTCTGTTAGTGTCTTCCAAATTCTCTCAAATTATAATGTAATGTTCAGTGACACTTGGTTAATAATACTAGTCTATATACATTAAATTTAATTAAAGTGGTTTTGCTCCATTAGCAAATTTTGTGTGGATTTGACCACTGACATATATTGGAGGTGAATCAGTAATTTGTATTCCTTTTTTGAATATAATTCAGACCTTCTGGTTTGTCCCATCTGTATGCTGTTGGCTGCTGGTAATACATATCTAAGTGCTTAGCTTGGGATGTTATAGGCACTCAAGAAATGGCAGTCTGTGTCTTTAGTTTGCATAGCTTTGTTTTAGTTTGAGAATAAATATTTAGCCTCTGATTTGTTTTTCACAGAAGAGTGAGTTCTTATGATTCAAACTGATGACATAAATCTTTTCAATGTATAGCTCACAGGACAGAAGTCATAGGAATCAGAGTAGTTCCACCCAACCATCTGGTGATTCTGGCTATTTAAATTAAAATAAATTACTCTAACTATGATTAAAATAATACAAAGTCAGTTCTTTTATTTAATTGGCCTTATTTCTGGCACTCAAAATCTATTCACAACTTTTGGAAAGAAACCCACATAAAACATTTCCATCATAGTAGAAAGGTCTACTGCTGTTTCACAACCTCTTCACTATTGAATTTCCAAATATAAAATATTTTTAATATTTTTACTTCTCTGTCACAGGTTTATCACCTCTCACTCAAGTAACTATGTAACCTCAAGTTTCTATTCCTGTTCTATTTCATTTTTCTTTTTTTCTTTTTGGTAGCATTAGAGAATTTGAACCCAGGTCACTCACATAAGAGAGGCAAGTGCTGTATCACTAACCTGTATCCCAACCTTTTTCATTTTATGATGAGACAGGGCATCACTGGATTGCTCAGGTTGGCCTTCAACTTGCCATCCTCCTGCCTCAGTCTCCCAGAATGCTGGGATGACACGTGCACCACAGTGCCTAGCTCTAGTCTACTTTGGGGACCATGAGATCTTGCTGCGAGTTTTTGTATTTTAGTAGTCTGTGTAATTCCTTTGTAATAATTTACATTTACTGTGTTTCACGTCCTGCTTTCCTTCTCTGTAACTCATGGAGAACGATGGCAGCGAGTTTTAGTGTTTGTACTCCCAATTTACTTGGCACTGTACCATGCGCTTAGCCGGGCGTGCTCATTTTATTGATGTGACTTGATTTTTGTCACCACACGGTCTTGGATCATCCTTAAAATATGGTATTACTATGTTAAGAAAGGCCGTTTCCACACTGAATATACGTCAGTAATTTAACTCTTTGGCTAAGTAAAGGATTAACACACAGAAAGCGCAGGCATGGAACCTTAGCGCTGGAACAAGGCCAATACCCTTGTTACAGAAAGACTCAGGGAACAGATGCCAGTCCCTAAAATCTGCGAGAGTTGGGATATCGCGAGATGTGGGGGCCAATCAGGAGCCTGGGCGGATACCGCCATTCTCTGTGCCACCTACCCTGAAGTGTGTTTGAGGCGCTGGACTTGGAGTCCCAGCCACGTGCCTGGCTGCCGAAACTTGGGGTGAGGGCACACGCCTGGCAGCGGCCAGAGGGAGCAGGAGGACAGCGCTGCTGGCCCTGAGGGAGGGCGGGCCTGGTTGGTAGTGAGTGGACTGGGCAGCTTGCGATCCAATATGCCCCGGGCGGTGTGGGCCTGGGTTTGCTTAGAAAGGAGCAACCCCTTGTCAGAAGGGAAAGGCGCTGGGGAAGGCGCCCCCAACCCCTCTGCCAGCTGACGATGTTACTATTGTAATTATTGACAGCTTCTACTGTCTTCATTATGTTGGTGAGGTTCCGCTCTGCATCCGCACTATCTGGGTGGTGCTGGTTTCTGAGTAGAACTTCCTGCCCTCGTTTGAGGGCTTCATTCAAGAGAAGCCTAGGTTGGGAGTTTGGAAAACTAGATTTTTTTTTCCTGGCTCTCCAAAGGCTCAGTTACAGCTACTGAGAAAGGGAAAAGGCCAGAGTGAACCTTGCGGGATTCAAAAACATTGCGTGATTTACTCAGGGTCACGTCATTGTGGCTGTGTATACTGCAGCCTTCTGAATCCCACGCGTCTTATGGTCTGTTTGGTATTCATCTTTACAATATTTGAGCGAGCTTCCTTCCCCTTTCGCGGCACTTCAGTTGCATGGACTGTGAAGGTCTTGAAACCTTTCTTGATGTCTTCATTATTGTGACCGCTTTCCTCTTTTTACGCAGTTAGAACTGGCAGTGGTGTGTGTGGCGGTATTACACACTATTTTACCAAGTCCTTATTTTTTTGGTACGGGGGTCGAACTCACGACCTCATGTTTGCCAGGCTTATGCTGCTGAGCTAAATCTTCAGCCCCTACCTAGTCCTTCTTAAGCACTGTAACTTACTTGGAAAACATTTTATGCACCTGGAATGTGTCCATTATTGTATTCATAAAAGGCTGTGCAGGTCTGAGAAGGGAATTGTTAAGGTTCTAGAGTTATAAATTTAATATTGACCCTTCCATCTTTACAGTCTCTCCTCACCATTCAGCAACTTGGTTTCTTAAAATCATTTAATCTTTGCCTTATCTTCATATGTAAACATGGAGATATGAATACTAACTGTCACAAGGGAGTTGTGAAGATTGAGTTAATATTTATATGGCTTGGGATGTATTTAGCACACAGTGAGCACTTTACAAACATTTGCTACTTTTACTGTTTAGTGTTGGAATTACCTCATTTTTGGATAAACAATCATTCTCACACTAGTTGGTCACTTATTTTCCTTGTTTAGTGAGATTTTTTTGTGACTGCTAAGAACTGATAGAATGTCAGGTAGTTATAGGACAA